GTCCTCTTCCCTCACTCAGTCTGTCTGTGTGTGTGTGTGTGTGTTTGTGTGTGTGAGAGAGAGGGCACTTGTGCTTCCTCCCTCCCTCCCTCCCTCCCTCCCTCTCTTTTTCTCTTTCCTCTCCCCCCTCCTCTCCCTCTTTCCTCTCCCCCTTCTCTTTTTCTCTCCCTCCCTCTTTCCTCTCCCCCCTTTCTATCTTACCCCCCCCCTCTCTCTTTCTCTCTCCCCCCCTCTCTCTCCTGGCAAGCTGGCTTCAAGCTGTTCTCCAACAGGCTGGCTCTCTCCTGCCCTTCCTGCTTCCTGCAGAGATGCAGCCAAGGCAGGAGCCCCGCCCAATAAGCTTGTCAGCTCGTCGGAGAATATACAAACACACACACACATACACACAGAGAGAGGGGGGGAGAGAGACAGAAGGGAAGCGCAAGTGCCTCTCTCTGTCTCTCTCTCTGCAAATGGCAGAGGAGGCTGGGAGCCGCAGGAGAAGGCTCAAAGAGCCACCTGCGGTTCTGGAGCCGCAGGTTGCCAACCTGTGCCCTATGCACCCCGCACCCACTTACCTTGCAGCGAGGCCTCTCCTCGCCGGCCCATTTCTTCTGAGGCATCTTCTGCAGCCAGGCCTGCATTTCTCAGTCACAGGCCTTTCCTGAAAACCTGTGCAGCCGAGAACTGAGCTATAGATTCAATCCATAGCTCGGTTCTTCAAGACATCTGCAGCCAAGGACCAAGCTATGGATTGAATCAGTACTCGGCTGCATAGACCTTCCAGAAAGTCCTGACTGCAAAATGCAGGCCAGAATGCAGCTGCAGAATGAAGCTACTCCTTCGGCCCCAGAAGAAGTGGACTGGCTGGGTGGAGCTGTCAGTGCCAGAGGTAAGACATCCCCCGAAAGTAAGACCTGGTGCCTCTTTTGGAGGCAAAAAAAAAAAAAAGACCCAGTCTTATTTTCAGGGAAACATGGGCACATGCTGCTTTCTCCTCCTAGCAGAAACAACAAAGAATAGAAAAAAATGGGGTAAAGGGAAAGGAAGGAAAAATAGGAACTGAGCTAGCTGGAAATGAGGTGAAGATTAGAGCCAGAGACAACTGGACAGACAAGGAAATAAATTCACCAAGCTAACAGCTCTTTCACAATTAACAACTAATCTTCAAAGGTATCCATGTTTTGCAGCAGTAATGCCCACAACCATTTGCATCTCTGATGTCTATTCATCTTAGTTAATATAAAATTACCTTTCACCTCAAACCCACAATACTTTACAATATATTTCTACTGGCAAACAGGTTTATGCATTTTTGTCATAGTTCCCTTAGCTGTTTTTGGCTCCAAATCTTTCAGAATGGTTGAAAAAAATAATAAAGTCCATCACTAGGCACCATAGCATTCTGATGTTGCCTAGGATCATAATTATTTATAAATTGCAATCAATGGACAAATTACCTTTTGTGGGAGACAGTTTTGGACATTTTTTCTATATAACTCATTTTAAAGAAAGTTTGTTAACAATAATATCTGACCCTGAGTTAAATTTTGTCTTTATTAGATAAATTACATAATGATCTATACCAAAAGGTCACAACTGGGAATAACAGAAACTTGCATCTCTTGACATCAGCACCCGCTACATCTTCATGTATCAAAGCATCTCTATTTCTAATTTTATTGGGATAAAAAAGACACTTTTCATATCATATAAAAACAGAAAAGTTACCATTATATACACAAAACATATATAGGGCTAGATTAGGAGGAACAATTCCATAAATACATGAAGTGTATAAAACTGCCAAAAATATGTGAGAAGGTAGATTTCTCTGTAGAGATTACATCTATGCCATTATAATTTAAACAAGATTGCAACTTCATTCTTATGGCTGTGCAATATTTATTTATTCAAATTTTATAGCCACCCATCTCCATCCATTTGACTGATTAATATGAATTTTTTATATTGTAATGGCCATTTGGCTATAGCATTCACTGCTCTTTTAACAAAAATAAATTGCTTTCAATGCTTCAAATTCAAGAAACCATGAAATGCTCAGAAAGAAATGGATATTTTTACAAGTTTTTTTACAAATTAATTATATTGAATTATTTGCCCTGAGAGTGCCCAGATGGAAGCATTTGCAAGTTCAAGCCTACTTAATCAGTCTGTAACTCTTAAGAATTCACACTGTCTTTGTGTTAATCCCGGGCTGATTATTTTGTTTTGTAATAAAGCAAAATTTGCATGGATGTAACAGTAGTTGGGGGCCTAAATTAGCAATGATCTCTTATCTCCTCAGTCCCAATAAGGTTATTTTTCCTACTTAGCTGCACTGGGAATGCCATCATTAAGAATCTGTCTTAGTGAATGGAATGGTACTCTAATCAACGTGCCAATTTAAATGTGCCTCTGAATCAGCAGCACACTGGGACACTTATTCTGACTATCTAGCTTTACAAGAGAAGCAGACAGAATCACAGTATCCATATCAGCTATAAGAAATACAAACTTAAATACACTTCCATCAAGGAAACCAGTGATAACAAGCCCTTTTCAAATAGCATGGTCAAATATTAAATTTTACCATGTACCAGAATGGGGCAGGATACACAAACCAAACACATCCACTCACATATACTAGGAAAAAACAGGAAATCAATGATCAATGCAATGAAAGACTTAACAAAAAAAGAGAATAAGCAAAGAAAATAAGTAGGAGAAAAGCATGGCTTGTGGACCATATATATATATTATATATATATATATATATATAATATATATATATATATATATATATATATATATTATAAAACATTATTATATTATTATATTATTATATTACATTATTATATTATATTCCCAAGAGTCGTATTTTTGTTTTTATTGCTNACGTTTCGACGAAGTCACATTCGTCATCTTCAGGCTGGTGTCTTCAGCTTCGTGCTTAGAAGCACGAAGCTGAAGACACCAGCCTGAAGATGACGAATGTGACTTCGTCGAAACGTCGCCAAGGTACTTTTAATTCTACGAATGCGACTCTTGGGTGCGTCCATGTTGTGTCCAAATAATCACGATCACCAAGAGTAGATAAAATGTTTATAAACAATTAAAAAGTTTAAAAAACAGTTTAAAAGCAATAAAACATTTAAAATTATCGGCAACCGATAAATTGGCAACCGATAAATTATTGGCAACCGATAATTTTAAATGCCGATAATTTTAAATGTTTTATTGCTTTTAAACTGTTTTTTAAACTTTTTAATTGTTTATAAACATTTTATCTACTCTTGGTGATCGTGATTATTTGGACACAACATATATATATATATATATGCTCCCAAAAATTGTGGGAAAGAACATAAGGATCACTTCAGTTGGTAGTATAGCTACTTTACTACCAATTGGTGAACATGGAACTAATCTTTACTACTAGGTGATAAATCTTATATGGATGTAAGCTTTGAAAAAAAAACTGTATTTTTTGAGGATCAAGCTAAATGATTATCCACATGATTTAAAAGTGTGATTAGGCTAGCTACCTCTTTGTTTATCAGGCTTCCAAATCACAGTCTTAGGGAGGAACATTTTGTCCTTGTCCACATTTCATCTTGCTGAAAATCTCTTTCCAAAATGACTGAAGGTGGGATTTCCATCAGCAAAACAATGTTGGAAAAGATGTTAATGCTCTATCCCTTACCTTCAGTCCTAATTGAGATCAGGAAGCCTGCATCTTTAAAAAAAATGCAAAGAGATATCACCTAACCATTTTTTAATTAATGCTTTTAGTTGTATTTATTCTTTCTTGTTTTCCCTATCAGGAAAAATATATAAAAGGAAGATTCAATTCCTGGCCTTACAATGATGTTATAGATCAGTCTTCTACAAGCTGCTGATTCAGATGATACACCTTCTCATATCTTCTCCAACCAGCGATATACCTTAGTCACATAACAATTCCAAAACTTAGAAGGACTTTATCTTTGGCCATATTCAATGTCCTCCCAATAGTTGTTACTGAAGGGAGACATTAAAAAATCTCCTTCGAACATAGATTGTGTCCATGCTGTGAAGAAATAATTGAAATGATGGAACAAATTATTTTGTATTGTCTCCTCTACGAAATGCTCACTTGGAATTATTATGTCTATTCTTTATTAAACTTCTGGGTTGTTCTGATTTGTTTTAGCTTACGTTTTTATTATAAGATCAATCTGATTTTACTTCTTTACAGCTAAGAATTGTTCTAAGTTTGTACAGTACACCAGGTTTGTTTTCCTAATCCTCCTTATATGTTTTAGAGCATTTTTTTTCTTGTTATCCTAATTAATTGCAATTTTCTTATTTTATTTGCTGGTCTATGATTGAATAAAAATTGATTGATTGAAACTATAGTTTCTATCATTCTGATCATCATCAGTTTACGAAAGACTACAGGCTGAAAGAAGAAAGATACAGAATGAGATGAAGAGTATGAGACAAAAAGAAATTGGAATTTTTATAGTTTGCCAAGTTATAAGATATAAATAATTGTAACCCAAATAGCATAAAAACCATAGTGCACTTCTCTAGAGAACTGGCCTGACCTCCTAAAGCTTCTATTTTATAGGACGTAGGAGAAACTTATACTGAGGAGAAAAGAAGTTAAACACAATCCTATCTTCTTTGAATCTATCTATTACTGGACCAAGAACCATTGCAAATGCCATCAAATGAGACTTCACAACAATTTTTTTCGCTTTTTACTAACTCCTTACCCCAAAGATGTTTTCAATAGAGATTGTTTTGTAAAAAGAATGAGAGAGAAAAGAAAATTCCTCTTTCAAAGATATACAAGTTAATCAGTCCAAGATATCAGTCTCTGTCAGGGGAAAAAGTAACTTTCTAGCACCAGCATGGACATTCTTTTTACTTGGAAGCAAATAATTCACCACTTGCTATACACCAAGTCACTGTCTCCTATTAGTACAATGAAACTTCCACAGATCTGGAAGGGTTTTTAAGGAAAAAAAAAAGGGGGGGGGGACAAGAATTCATTCAATGTCTGATGAAACTATTCCTCTAAGGTTAGGAAGCAGCAATAGCTGTGCCACCACTTAGTTTCACAATCATCTGCTGACAGTCATTGCAGGAACGCATGTCGCCAATCTTCTCCAGTGTACGAGCTGCTTCTGCAAGTAGGACAGCACGCTGGCCCGGAGATGACAGAAAAGACAGGGGGAGGTAGCGGCAGGCTAACAGAATTGCTGTAGCTCGTTCTCTTTGTCCAGGAAGAACATCCAACTCACCTAAATATGAAAAGAAAAGACTAACAATAAACAACTTAGTAATGAATATGCAATCAACATGTTGGGCAATAAATGTATTGTAGAAGTTACCGAAATAACTTCACCTCAAGTTTTCTGCTAGAACATTCCAATTTTGCTGAATTCTGACAGTGCCCAAATGTTTCATTTGCTGAGACAAAACTCAATGTAGGCTTAGTATTGTAGTTACTAAAAAAATGGTACTTGGCATAAGCCTCTTGTTTTTAATGTCAAGATTGGTAAAAAGGATAACATTTGAATAGTCAAATTACACCATCTCACCCAGCTAAAAATACTATTGCATGCAATTAATATAGGAGCTCTTCTTTTGTGGTGTAATGAGTGCTTGAGAACAGAGTGATTTCTTTAGGCACGGAACAAAAAAACATATCCCCCCCAAAAAACTATCTTTGGTTCTGAATGTAAAAAAAATACCAAAAATGGTTGTAATATATCCAAGAATAATTCAGGCTTGAAGCATTAGGTGCCTCTTATCTACATCTCTCAAAAAAACAGAAATTAGGACTAAACTGAAATCAGCCAACTTTCCAAATGTAGCAACCTTGTCCTTTAGATAAGCACTTTTACAATTAAGCATAACCCACAGAAACATTAATATTTGTTATTGTTGTTCTAATATGTTTAAATATGTGAATTCTTAAAATCTATGAAGGAAGGTATGTTTCCCATTATCAGTTCCCACTCCTCTAAATCTTATCAGCAGTTTGTCCCATTACATCCCTTCCTGTTTAGGAGACAAGAAAGAGAAGAGCACAAGAACCGACTCACCTTGCTTGGTATTCTGTGGGGTCCGACGTCTGAGACTATGCTCCAACAGCTGATGAGTTCGTGTGGGGCTGGCCCCTGCCATCAAGCGCACAGTGGCCTCATGTAGGAAAACCTTGAAAAGTAGAAAACAATGGGATGTCATGGATATATATTTTTAACAGGCAGACTTGAAACAATCATTTCTTACATGTTGGCCAGATGTCTAAAACTGTGATGGACATTTGATAGATTTTAAAGTTTGTCTTTTATCCACCTTCATTCTCTTGGCAGATTCACCTACTCTCTGTGTATTTTGTCTGTTCTGTTTCTGTATTCCCTCCCGCAGAATTATCATAGCTGAGCTGCAAAAATCTGGACAAACACAAAATGGTGGCAGAGTCTTAATGGTCTGTATATCTTTGCTGACATCTAGTGGTCATTAAAATTGCACAGCCAATATATTGTAGTAGCCCAACTCTCCCATAGCAGATGGCCTGGCGCAGGTGCAAGGCTGACTTAGCTGGACTCTAAACCAGTGTTTCTCAACCTTGACAATTTTAAGGCATGTGGACTTCAACTCCCAGAATTCCACAGCCAGCATTGCTGGCTGTGGAATTCTGGGAGTTGAAGTCCACATGCCTTAAAATTGTCAAGGTTGAGAAACACTGTTCTAAACAGTTCATGCTGAGAAGACTGAAGAATCTGGGTGGCAATTTATTCCCCTGGGGGGTGAGAAGGAATAAATGGTGAGTCATACACCAACTTTTAAAACCACTATCCTCCTTTCTTAAGAGCATTTTAATGACCACCTTATCTGTCAACGCTGCTAACATTGGATGTTCCTGCTCCAACAACTGATGAAAATGCAGCCATTTTCTCTTTTCATTTAACATGCTTTTTCTGGTATTTAGAAATTAGGTGCAGTAAGGGGGTTGGGATGAGAACTCAGCTCAGCTAGCCATTATAATAACTCTGCTTTGTGGAAACTCAAGGACAAGCTGATAAGGTTTTGGCCGTGTTTTAGGCTAATTGGAGAATGTGATTTATGACAGCTTATTGGGGGTGGGAATTGCACTTTGTTATTTTGTATCTGGAGGAAGGGAATTTAGTTTTTGGGTTCAACTATGTAGTGCTGATACTTTGTTTCCCAAATAAAATGTTCTTTAAGGAAGAATTTTGCCTTGAAGTTCTTTTGATGGGTTTCATCTATCGGAACCATGACATTATCCTTTTAACCACTTTCTGCTTTAAACCAATGTAGAAAAAGTAAAAAGCTAGGAAATTCTCAGCTCATATCACAACTATATCACAAAAATAGGCCCAATGGTGTGGAACAAAGCATGTGCACGCACACACACAGAGAGACACAAATATAATTATAGAATTGTTTTAAGGATGTAAAATAAAATGAAATATTTTAACTTTCAGAAAGTATCATCATCATTTCATGCACAAGGAAAAAAAACACCTAGGTATCATGAGCAAAGCTTATAAATAATAGTATATCCAGAAGAAAATCTGTGATAATAAACACTGCAAACAATGTTAAAATATTTATGAAAAATAGATTCTGGCAGAGCAAATTTGTTCTTCTGGCTTACAATACCATGCACTCAGGAGAAAACAAATATGGAAATATGAAGAAAGCCAACATTTTCGCACTCTGAAATTCTCTGAATACCATCCATAGATTCTTACACACACATACACACCCCTACCTCTCTCTATCACATTTTTTACAAAGTTAAAAGACAAATGAAAAAAAAGTGAAAAAGTGAAAAAGTGTTTAAAACAATAAAAAGACAAGAAAAAAATATATTAAAAGCAGCTTCCAATCTTTACAGCAGTTATAGACCTACTTAATATCATTTTCCTCTTTCAAGATTACAAAACATAATTCCCCCCTCCCTATATACAGTTCTTTTTAATAAATAAATCCAGAAATTACCAGTTCATTAATAACCACTTTTAGCAAGAAGTCCACAGAGGGCTTCCAATATTACAAATTCTTACCTTTCGATAAGCAAGCCTGAAGCTATTTGCTAGTTTTCGCAGGCTGCCAAGATCACGCTGGA